AAAAGGGAAAAATAAAACCTTGCATGACCAGTCGAGTCTATCAATGTCAAACCTATCAAGTAGCAAGTTTGAGTGTTACAAAGAACCGGGTCCCATATTGGTAGATTTGGGGGTCCTGAGATAAATTACCATCTCCCAGACTCGTAAAACTAATTTTGAGTATTTGTTTGGTAACTCGGGTGATGGCCGCTCCCGGGCATGCTAGTTAGTATGGATGGATATCAACTGGTTCTTTCTATCCGCTGTCGTCCACCGCTGGGCTTCTTGGAATGTTCCAACACTAACCCTGGATGTTTGCAGTCTTTCTTTATCTGCGATTGTGCGAAGCGGGCTTTTCCAGTTTGTCGCCTTCAGATAGGGATAACGTGGTTGTAACTACACAATTTGTAGGATTATCAACAAGATATACTTGGTATCGAATAGATAAAGCCCAAAGAAAAAGAAAATGACACAGTGTCTCTATCTCGACTTTCAAAAATTACACCCTCAGCGGAGGTATTCCCGCCGTGCCCAGGGCCCAGGGGGGGAAAGTCGTTAGAGTCAACCCGGCGGCCAGCCCCACCGGCCGCGTGTCCTCCCACCACCAGTCGTAATCTTTTTCTCCTATTCTTACCCTTCGATCTTGTTTCGCTTTCTCGTAATAAACACCGATCGCCTCAATTTTCCCCGGGACGCTCCCGGAGTCCGTTGGCTGTCTGGTCTGAGTCTTGGGGAGTAAAGCCAGCCAATGGAAATATAATATTCGCAATCGAGACAACAATAGCCATAATAAGTGACGACATGTCTCAGGTAATGACAACCTGAGAGCCAGGCATGCCCCCCCCCGTGCGAGCAAGTATCTAATCCCTACATAAGTGGAACATAGCAAATGTATAGACTAGGAGTCCCGGTTGATATCTATCTTCATTCCGACCGTGGAGGATTATACAGAATGCATCCAACGCGGATAGTATACAGTGCTCTGCATCGACATCCCAAAGCAGCGGCAAAAAAAGCTTGGCTTTCATTCTGGTGCCGAATATAGACGGGGTGGCGACTTGTGGCTGCGCTGCGCCATCTGACTCGCGGACTAACTATACATTGCCCTTGCCGAGAAGAGCCTCCGTCCTTTAAAAGTAACAACAACATACCAAGAATAGTAATATCGACTGAGACTCAGTTCCAGCTGGACTGTGTCCTCCATTCGTATACTCGGTAGACCGATCGGTATGGGCTGATGAGCTGACCTAAGAACATCGTAATCGACCGGGATCAACAACGCCGAACCATCGCCAGCTTGATACTACGGTCCAATCAACATTGCAGGAATGCAAGCTGTTTGACCGGGAACGCGTGTACTCGTGTACTGATATGCGGGCAGCAAAATGCTGACCGGCCTCATGATTTATGGAAGTAGTCGGTCACTTACCGGTGTATCTTCAAGCCGTCTCAGGGTTTGCTGTGGCCAACTTTTCCAGGAGGGGAGGGGGAAAGGGTATACGCGATGATAGTGTGCCATTGCTCATATTAATAATACAATGGAGGTAATATCATTACGGCTCGCAATATTACGCCAGTGTTCGAAACTCCGAATCGACCTTTTTTTTGCCTCGCAGGATAACGATCGACAGCACCGAACACTATGAACCAGTGGGAAGAGCTCTTTCGTTAATTAATCCGTCCAGACAGTTAAGGTTGAACGCTGGCCTTGGCAGGTGTCATTATGCTGATACGACTATCTTTCTGGAGAATCGAGACTATATTATATGTTTGTTGTAGAGGCTTGCTCTAGCATCAGAATATCCTCCGTACAGTATTTACATGTCTCCCCTCTCCCATGGTTCCATGCCCAAGGCAAAGAAAGACATGTGTATTTATATCCAGGATCCACCCAAGAGCCACACCTTTCCAAGTTTTCCAAGTTTAGGTTGGCATTTCCCTCCATTCTCCTTCCCTGTTTCTTCTTTCTCCAGCATCTTAGACATTCCAAGCTCGATCAAAACAATTGGTGGGCTTTTACTCCCCTTGTAAAAGGTGCAAGGCATTTTTTCCAGTTCTCCTACCGATGTCTCCATGTTGCCAAAGGGATCCGTGCAGGATCTTCATTCACTTCGGGTATGGTGTTTTAATCAACCAGTATCTTGTAGTAAACTCTCCTTGATGCTATTCCAATGATTTGGCTCCGACAATATGCATGTTCGCCCTGGCATTTCACTTTCTTTGCAATGCAAGAGGGCTGGTCTCGACTTGTGTAGGACATGTCACATGTTGCCTGCCTCGGATGACAACGTGCTGTACTCTGTTCCATTGATATTATCATACTTATGGCCGTTTCTCGGCAAATTGCAGTAAAGGCCCAGTATATACTCTATCTGTACGATTTCTTCAGGTCTTAGAGTTCGACGACCTCCTTTATGCTGGTGATAAGTCAAGGATCCTTCCGTCGTGGGTCGCAGCGTTCAAGCGAATCACCAGCGACAGCAGACCTATCAACTAACATGGCAAATTGACACTTCCTGGCATTAATCCAGAGGCCAGAAACGGCAGATCAGACATAGCTGGGGGGATGATTCGTTCCCAAATGACGCGTATAACTACACCGCGGTTACCGGCCACGATCAAGAGACGCTATGCGATATCCCACCACCGCAGCTGTCGGTTGTGATATTAACTAGTACTTGCAGATTAAGATAGCGGGTCCGTTCCTGATGATATGAGCTACGTTTCTCCTAAACAGGGCCTGTCGGGGAAATCTAAGACACCGAGACCTAGAATTTCAATCATATTCAAGGCTCTCAAAGTGTACGTTCTAGAACTTCGGTCACCGAGCCACAAGCTGCGATGTATCCATGGAATGGTGTATAAATACAGTGGGCCCCCTTCACATAGATGACGTTCGATATTTAATAACCTCAGTTCGATCTTTATACGCCGTACTGTGGGCTTGAGCTCAGACCAGACACTCGGCCCTCGTTCAGACATGGGTGGAATAGAATGTACCGAAGTCGAGTGTCACGAGTAGATTAATGATCGACGGTTTCCGTCATCTATAAGATACACCAAGACAAAGAACATGATTAATGTGAGTCTGGCTACCCTGTTGTTTTTTATACAGGGGATTGCTACAGGGGAGAGTGTAATTTTCAAGATATGGTGTTTTTGCTGGGGGTGGAAATTATACAGTTCTTTTTCCTGGCTTGAAACTTGTTCCTATTTGCCACCTGGTAACCTCCCGGTCTACTGCATGACACAGAGTATCCATATCAAACTAGAAAGATAGTCCTAAAGGAGCCAACTACTTGGATTCACTCAAGTAGTTCATCTTCTTATCAGCCACCAGCATTCTTTCACCCATCACAACTCCACTAGCACGCCACGCCATACCACACGCATCTCAAACATCCTCCATCACTAATAAAGCCATTATCAAACCAAACCAAACTGCAAGCTCATCAAATCAGAACCCCCCAGTCAGTCGGAAATCAAACCCGGTCTGCGGAGCTACTAGTCCGTTTTCCCCTCGGTTTGTCACTGTCCTGCCGTTTTCGGACTCCCAGCCCTTCGCCGCATCGGATACGGCAGAGGATCTTCTCTTCTTGTTCCCTTGGCAGGAATGCCAGTGGCATGGCGGACAAGATTACAATCACCGCTTGGATATCTTACAGGAATGGATATTACCCAGAACTGCAAAATGACCCAGCGGATTTGGCGGAAAAATTGTAGATCCTGTGATACTTGACTTTCCAATCTGAATTCGTCATGTATGCTTGAATACTGTTGGCTTGATAATATCCAGCCGATGGTTACTATAGTGTCATAGTTACTGGGTATAACCAACTCCGACTATCACCACCTCATTAACCAACCTATCGCACTGCAAAGCGCACAAATCCATGCACAGCCCAAGAAATACCCACCATTACCATCCCCCTCAGTATACCCATTAGATAAGACGGATGTACTCCGTATACAAACAAGGATTAGATTCTGTCCGCGCCGTTTCAGATCCAAGGAGGGTAACGGAGATGCGGGGTTCAGCCGACGGATGAGACGCGGATGCCGGTTCGCCCGGGTTACACATCCTGGCTTGGCTGAGGGATCGGCAGATATATTGTTTTCTTGGTTTGTGATTTGTTGCTTTGCTTGCTGTATCTATGTAAGTGGTCGGTTTTGTTGTGTGGGTGCCGAGGTGGTTGGTGTAGATGGTTTCTTTGCAGAAGTATGTAGTAGTTTACAATGGGTTTGACATGCGGTCTGGGTTTGTTTGAATCTGCGTTGAGTGAATAGGTTGTAGGTTTGTCTTGGTTGGTGCATGTAGGCGTGTGGGCGTTGGGCGTTTGTGCCTTGCTGCCGTGATCACAGCGATGGTTGATATAGTTACTTGTGTTCAATATGCGTTGCAATAACCGTTCCCTAATAGCTATTACATCTTTGGACCCGAAGTCTGTAAATATTGATTTGGTTTTAAGAGACGTCCTGATAATCTAACTTCTTATTCTTCAATTATCAAACTCCATTACACCCCCTGCTCTTTAATCTATTCCACAGATCAGTTCGTGATGTAGACGAACTACCGGCGCCACTCTGTACTACGGGAAGGTAAATTGATGTCTGCCCTATAGGTTCATCAACGATCTGGAGTACTATCGTTAGTGGAGATAAATTAACACTCTAATCTTGACGACCATCCGTCATTTGATTTGACGGGTGCCGGCGCTCGGTGGGCTGTGGTAGGTAACATTGCTATGACCAATGGGCTAGAATGGCAGTTCATTTTCTGTTTGGTGTATATCTAGTTGTGTTTGGTTGTATGGATGGGCTATGCCTCTGTTGGCTCTTGGGACCGGGACTGAGGTTGGTTGTGTTTGGGAGTCGGATGGGGTCTTGTATACTAATGAGGTTTGGTGGTATTGTTGGTATATACCCAGGGGTATAGCTCTTCAAGACGACAACCAGATGTCTACAGTTCAGGACACATGTTGATAAATCAACCAGTCATTCATAGCTATAGACGATCGATTTCTAACTATTTATAGGCTAGTACCGCAAGCTCAACTATTCATCGTAAGCTCCTTCACGGTCTTCGAATTTCATGAACTCGTCATCGACAGCTTCATCACCCATAGCCAGTCTCCATGCATCCTTGACAGTCGTAATTACGGTGTCATCAAAAGAGAGATCGAGACTGGGAGGTGGGAAGCAGACGACATTGTTGGAAACATGGTCTAATGTCATGGCACCAGGGCTGGCAAGATCATCGTCGGACCGCCCCAGCTGCGTGTAACGTAGTGACCATGAGACCTGGGCATTAGGACCTGCAGTTGACTCGAGAAGCTTGTTTACGGCTTTCTCGACCAAGGACTGTCCTGCGTCACCAGGAGTGGTAATGCTGCTGTATAAGACACCTGGGAAAATGTTAGCTGTGGAACAACAGACCAACGGCAGAAACTCGAAACAGAAGTGTTTGAAGCTCATGATCAGATTAGATTTCTCATCAATGAATGTACAGGCAATGTAGATAAGTAATTTTTGAGATGTAGTCATCATAAGAGCATGGGATTGGGGAATTGGGCATTCGCACAAAGAATAAGAAAAAAAATAAACTTACACTGTCCTGGTGGGCACTCGCCAGTTTCGCTGGAATGGACCAAGACGTAAACTGGCGGTGCATCATCCGCCTGACCTAGGGAGCTTCCAGGGAAAACCACAACCGCACCAGCAGGGGTCGGAGCTCCTTCGGCAGCGACAGGGAACAGGCTCTCCAAAGGCGAGGAAACAATAGAGATAGACCGGGCCACTTTATGACATTCCGGATGTTTATCCGTAGGGACATCCCAATAGGAACCAAACACATATTTAGTGCTGATAGTTTCGCCATTGGACAGCTGAACCTTTAAGCGGGCGTCATGCTCGCCTGGAGTAGGTTGGACTACTGACTCAATGCCACTGTTCAAGACATAGATGCCGCCTCCCACAGCGAGAGCACGACAGCCTACTTGGCAGATCTCGGAGCCACCACCCCATTTCGCCAAGAGACTTCCAAAGCCAGGACCAAACACACCAATAGACGCGAGATGTCGCTGGATGCGTGGGACGGCATATGCTGCCAACGTCTTCTGAGGAGAGGCCTGAGACAGCGACAGTGAAAGCAATGGATCAAGAAGTTCAGCAGGGACCTGGAACTTCGACTCCAAATATGTCGAAAACGGCGTGGCCGTGCTCTCGTCTTCTTCTGCTCCTAGCGGTGGCTCATTGTCATGTTGGGTTTTGCCAATGTGACGGAGGAATCTCATAAGCGTTCGCTTAGATTTGACAGTTATCTTGTCATCCGCGAAAACATCTTCTCGACTGCCGGGCACTCGATACAAATTCGCATCCCCACTGTTGTCTGCCTGGGATCTATGGATCCACCAGCTACCCACGGCCTGGAACTCCAGCTGTCGGTACACCTTGGAAGAAATCAAGGTGGGCAACAGATTAGACCGACAATAAATGAGTTGCGGGGAGAGAGACAGGGTATATCTCCTAGATGGCAACGACTGAGCCTCCTGAGAAGAGTATACAGAGGCATCTTCAAACGGAAAGTTCTCCGACTCTGACTTATGAACACTTGTCAGTATATGCCAAGGCAAGCACGGCAGGTGCGAACACTCGCTTACCTTGATTTACTCTGTTTGCCCACTCCTGGGCTTCTTGTAGGCTGAACGCTGCCTCCGCGCTTCCATAGAAGGCATTTCGGTCAACGTGGATTACGTTTTTACCTGACCGAGAGAGCGCCCTGAAAGGGGCGTTAGAAAGGTGATGAAACTTTGGGTGAGATAGATTGAACTCACAGCGCCAGAAGGGACTGAGGTAGTCCAGTCCCCGAGATCAATACATCCCAAGGGGTTTCTGTTAGCGATTCCATTCTGCAGATAACTGCGCAGGAAAGAAAGCTGGGTCAAGTTTAGTGTTATGTTTACAACGAAGCCCAACGAGCATCACGTTGGATGACAAGCTGTAGAACAGTTCGGCAAGAAAATCTTCCACCCCATAGGGGGTATTGGAAAACCAGCTGTTTGGACACAAGGATAGAGTCGTGAAGAGGGAAGAAAAATTAGCAGAACAAACGGGGGGAAGAAATACAGGACCCGCATCAGTGGGTCACGTGATGGCACATCAACACCCGTGACAATCTATGATGCTTCAACACGGCCTGTGTTTTTCCTATTGATATACAGCCATAAGCCAGAATAAAGCGTTTTGAAGATTTAACAGAACACTTATACATAGAAATCTCCACCCCGACTATTGACTACTGCCTGCCATCATAATGAGCTTCCCAGCTCTGTCGTAGAATGATGGAGCTCCCGACAATGACACCATACCTGATCAAGTTAGCTCATGTCGAGAGCCGCTTAAGAGAAAATTCCGCTGCCAAATTCTTTCTTTCTTTTTGACAACCACTCCTTGTGCTTTGCACAGGCAGACTGCTATTTCCCCTATAACAGTTTCGTCTTCTTTTGCGCAAGCCTTCACTGGTCTTGTTGTATCATGGGAGTGGTAGAAAAAACCAATCACTCTGTATCTGCTGCTCTGGATAAACACCTGATGGAAGCAGTTCGTTTTGTAGTGATACACTCATTGCATTAATCTCACTTGGTTTGTTCGCCAAGTAGGTTTCCTAATCATAATTATCCGCCCTAGGGGCGTACACATTGTAATCGTGACGATAATCTGGACTCAGCGTGCGAGGCTTTCGTGTAAGACAGACCTCCGTTTGTCTCAAACGAGGCGAGGCGGCAATCGAGACTCTTGAAGTAATGTTCCACAAAGCCGCGGTAGACATCGGACGTGGACTCTACCTATTGAAATAGAGTGATGCAAGCCGATAGAAGACTGCGAAGATGAGCTCTTACGCTTGTCTGTCGCACTCTAGGCTCTAGTCAAGAGACCACTTCTCATTCTTCCCCCTCTTCTACAACCCGGGCACGAATGATCTTGACCTCATCGAATGGCCGGTCTTCGCCATTTGTCTTCACAAGCCCCATACGCTGGATCACCCGCATCCCGCTTTTAACGCGCCCGAAGATTGTGTGCTTTCCGTCCAGCCACGGCGTCGGAGCGAGGGTGACGAAGAACTGACTGCCGTTGGTGTTCGGTCCACTATTGGCCATGCTCAAGATCCCAGCCCCCGTATGCTTAAGGTCCTGCTTGATTTCGTCCTCAAATTTCTCGCCGTAGATGGAACTGCCGCCTCTGCCAGTACCGGTAGGATCACCCGTTTGTACCATGAAGTTGGGGATGATGCGGTGGAAGATGATGTCGTTATAGTAGCCCCGCTGCGCGAGGGTTGCGAAGTTCTTGCACGTCTAGTAGAAGCAGAGCTATTAGCATGGGTTTGAATGTCCTTGACAGCTATTGGGAGTGCCGAACTCACCTTGGGCGCATGGGTATTGTACAGCTCCACGGTGAACGAGCCCTGGAGGATATTAGCGACTGATTGAGATAGAACTTAATGTAAATTCTCATTTACCATGCTCGTATCGAATGCCACGTCTGTCGCCATTGTCATCAATTTGTGTGGGACACTGGGAGTTTTGTGAGTAGTCAAAACAGGTACTGTCAAGGGTACGACTGTAGCTTTTCGCATAAGGCAGCGGGGAGCTGGAAAGCTAGTCTTGGCGCGCAACACGGTCATGCCTTGCCAGTGACACAACTACACTGGCCGTTTGAACCCCCAAGAACAAACAACTACAGCCCCCAACAAAGATGGACTGATTATTTCAAAACGACAACATCCCGTCTTCTCTGATTTGAACCTACGCGTGCACTGAAGCCACACTCATCTTGTTCCTGCGACGTGGTCTTGACAACGCCAGAATGGCTGAGGTCAGCCCCTTCGCCGAGCTCTTGGGGCAAGCAATCTACCAATATGAAGCCATAAGACCTCTTTTGCCTACGTACGGCCACTTGATCGTTTCCGCATTATTTCCTATATACGCCGGTGCCCACGCCTCACTGTCGAGACCGTCCTCTGCCGCAAAACCCCCCAAGAAATCGGAGAAGAACGATGGCGATAACTCGGACTCCGAAGCGGAAGATGAAGAAGACCAGGGCGACGGTAGTAAAATGGAGGGGCTTGAGCCAAGTGATGCTTTGATGTTTCCGCTGACGGCCGGGCTTACTTTGGGGGGATTATACTTGGTTATCAAGTACATGGGTGCCGATTTGTTGAACAAAGTCTTGGGGTTCTATTTCTCCCAGATGGGCATTTTCTTTGCGATGGCTTTTCTGAAAGATGCACTCGTGGTGATAAGATCTTTCGCATTCCCGAGGAAATATAGCCACTCTGGCAAAGTTTGGAAGCAAAAGAGATCCGAGCCTGTCTTTACAATCGTTAGAGACAAGTCTCTTGAAGCAACATCTGCAGAGACCCGGAGCTCTCCTCTGCCGGGATTTCTGGGGTCAATTCCGCTGCCAGGCTGGGCGCTTTCAACTATCTGGACATGCCGCAAGCTGGCATACCAACGGGCGAAACTCCGAATCAATTTGCACCGTGTCGTGCGTGCCGAATGCTCTGTGAGCTGGCTGGATCTTCTCAGCTTGCTCATGGCCCTTCCCGCCATCGCTTACTTCACTTTCGTTACGAAGCCGTGGTGGCTGACCAACTTTTTGGGGTTCAGCTTCTGCTACGGCACACTGCAATTCATGTCGCCGTCCAGTTTCGTTACGGGATCGCTCATCTTGAGCGCACTGTTCTTTTACGACATTTATTTTGTCTTCTACACACCACTGATGGTAACGGTTGCAAAGAAACTCGACGTGCCGATCAAACTCCTCTTCCCTCGGCCAGACCCGAGTGGCGATCCTGATCTTGTCTCTCTAGCCATGCTAGGATTGGGCGACATTGTGATTCCCGGCATGATGGTGGGACTGGCCCTCCGCTTTGACCTTTTCCTCTACTACAAGCGGAAGGGATTGCAAATGTTGCAAGCCAATGGCAAAGAACAGGAACCCGCGAAGCCCATCTATCAAACCGCGACGGGCGGTTGGGGAGAGTGGTTCTGGACCCGCACTATCAAGCCTGCCCTACCAGAGCTCGAACCACCGTATCACGATGCTAGGACCTTCCCCAAAACATACTTCAAGGCTAGTGTGTTTGGATATGTGTTCGGCATGGTGGCAACGCTTCTTGTTATGCAGTGCTTCAACCATGCCCAGCCGGCTCTTCTTTACCTGGTACCCGGGGTTCTTCTCTCGTTATGGGGAACAGCCCTTGTGAAGGGTGACCTACACGAGATGTTTGAATTTTCCGACATGGAAGAGGAGGAAGAATCAGAGGACTCCGCGGATAAAAAGGAAGAGACACAGAAAGATGATTCTCCTAAGATGGGACTGTTCCAGCGAGTCTTCTACGGTGTCAGCAAATCTACCCCAGAAAATTCCGACGCCCCTGCCGACAAGCAGGAAGAGAAGCCGAAGGAGACCGATGGAGAGCGAGAAGCAACGTCGGAACCCGAGGAGTCCAAAGATAAGGACTCGCACAAATCGTCCAAGACCGTCGAGGCAAAGAACAAGGACTTGGACCTCTTTTCGATATCTCTCTATGTTCCCAACAAGAACAAGTCAACCAAGGTTGACAGAGACGCCAAGGCCACGGAAGATGAGGAGAATTGGACGTCTGTTGGTGGTACGGAGAACGAAAACGAGCCTCCTCACAAGAGGAGACGCAGGAGCCCTAGAAATGCTGCCAAGGCTAGCCAATAGTTGATGTACTCACTTTACGAAAGGATCAGTTCGGGCTTTTTTTTAATCCCTCATGATGACCTATATGTGGTTAGACTTCTCTTATCACAGGTGTTTTGGTTTAAGCAGGTGAGATAGAATCTCGGGCAGTAAATAGACACCACGAACTCGCAGCAATATAGATGATACCGTCAATATAACCTTATCGCATTGTTCAACAGGATGGAATTTTCTATCAACATTGCTCCAATATCTGCCGTACATGGTTCCATCTTTGTGAGGAGACATCCACCAGCTGTCTCAGTTCCCTACCATCGATCGCCCACCCACCATTCTTTTCCATCTTCACAACGACGGTCTTGCCATTTCCTCCCTGTTCCTTGTCAACCACAATACACGCCCTTTCTTGACTCAGCCCCTCCTCGTATCCATCAGGATCAGTCAGAATCCACCGTCTCTGGGCTCCCCTTCTATTATCCTCCGCGATCTTCCTCTCCTCTTCCGCGTCGGGAAGGATAACAGCCCTCCACCCCGCAGCGGCATCAGCCTCAAAAACACAGAAAGAGCTCGCGACAGGCATCCCCCGCAAGGAGAGCTTACGCGCATCAGACACAGCGTCCGAGCACACGACGGTCTCGTTGTCAATGTCCCACCACGCCTTCGGGAGCTTAGTGTCCCTGAGAGCAGCCAGGACGGACGCCCAGGCCGCATCAAACGGGTTCCCTGCCAGCGAGATGATCATGACATCGATGTAGAGGACCCAGAAGGCCTTGATCTCGCGGTTCTTCTCGCCCTCGGCTTCGGCATCCACGTCCATCTGCTCGGACTCATTATGGCGCTCCAGGTCCTCCGCGCCCAGATTCGGAGGCTGATACCAGATGCGCAGGTCGTCTGCGCGGACTAACCGCGTGCTGTGGAGCAGGGACAGGATCTGCTGGGATAGCGACTGCGCTAATGCCGAGGGCGGAGCGCCGGGGATAAAGCCTGGGGCGCATCCGGTGCTGAGGGAGAGGTTGGGGACGAGGAGGTTGAGGTCTTCGATGTGTGATTCGTCCTCGTCGTATGATTCTTCGTCATCGCCGTCGCCGACGGTTTCGCTCGCTTTCAGGGTGGGATCGACCAGTTTCCGCCGCTTGTTGCCTGAGCCGGTGGACGGTTGTGTCACGCTCCATGACGCGATATCTGCTGTGTGAAGGAGCTCGGCCCGCACGCCGCATACGGCGGCTGTTTCGCCGACCCTGACGACGGCGCTACCGTTTGTGTGGGTGAGAGAGCCGGTGTTTGCGGACGTGACGCGAAATTGTGTAGGAGAACGGCCATTGGCGCGAATAGAGGGGTGATTGCTTGTGGCAGGAGGGGATAGATGGGCGAGGAGGTAGGCGTGAGGTTGAAGACGGGCGAATTGAGAGGGTGGGAGGGAGAGGGACGGGGGTGTCGGTTGGGCAGCAGGTGATGCTGCTGCTGCGGGCGCCATCTTTTGTCTAGGGAGATTTTCTAAGGCGGCGCTCTCAACGATCTTCTGTAGATCAATTGCGCGAGTGGTTGGTTTCTTGAAGCCGAGATCGTTGATGGGCGGGGACGAAAAGAAAGTTGCGACTTTTCCGCGGCAGAATCGGATCTGTATCGAGGGCGGTGAAGGGGTGGAGTTTCCATGCTGCTGGCGGCCTGACCAACCATCATCATCTCCTGTGCCCTGTAAGCATCCGTTGCTTCGTTTCGGTGCAGAATCCCTGGTTATTACCAGATATAGATGATGCTGCTCTAAAAGCACCGAAGACTTATGTGATCTACCTTGCTTATTGTTGGGGAACTGGCTGACCGAGCCATAAAGCTCCTTGCCTGACGTGCACTTTTGATTACGAGAGTATGAACAGATATCTGTCCTAAGAGCAACAGAAGGCTGCTATACATAGAATAAGTTGCATGTCGGTGCATATGCTGTTGAAAATGCCCGAGGGAACACCGAATCTCGCGATTGAGTGTCGACGACGAGTTCGGACTTCGGTGTCTGGAGACCTCTTCCATTCAAACCCATCATAGTACCATTTTGCGAGCCTGGGAGAACTTAACCCGTCTTCTGGGTTATACTAGACTAATTAAGGTAGAGTTGTGATATAGGTTCTTACTTAGCCATGGTTGGGAAATTATCGCTTCGTCAACCTATATATAAATACGAGGAGCCGTCGATCCTATTGGCCCCGATGTGTGCGATAGGGGCTGTGGTGCGGATGCCATTGATGATGAAAACATTTATCCTAACTAGGAAAACACAAATCAATATGTGCTTCTGTAATGATGCCATGTGTTGATCCATTGGGGTGATCGTCTGCTCATCATTACTAGTACCATGATCCATCCACTGTGCTGAGCCCGGGCTATTCTTCTGACCTGATCAAAGGCATCCCATATTGACAGTTGATAGTGGGTCGTCCGTCCAGACTAGGTTTCGCTTCGGGCAACATTGAAACCATTCGAATACGACATCATTGACCCTCCGCTCGAGTATATTCTCCAAATTTGTTTCTTCAATACGGGTACGACCAGCCAAACCCACTCATTTTTGGCGCCAAACTGTTCGTTCGCCGAGAATTGCCAACTAGCTCCATGTATTCTAAGCCTATGCGAAGCGCTTGCTAGTTAAGCCTCGTATTCATGGGAAATGTGACCTCATCTTGGCTCTGGTGCGTGATCTGGCTTTAGTTAGCTGCCATGCGAGGGCCTTACTGTTTTGGTCAGCAGATATTAGTCTTGTCGAATCAAGTGTGGCATGCTTTATTTACCCAAAGACCCCGCGTAAAAAGACCGAATCTCCCATGGATCTGATACTCGTAAGCAGACGGATACCCTAGGTGTGCAACGAGCCCAACAGAGCCCAACAGACCTCTTTGCAGGCATCGAGGATGAACTTCATTTTTGTGCAACGACGGCGGAAGAGAAGACAGGCTTGTCACACAGCTGCCATGAGCCCAACATCATCGCCTGTCTCACCGCTAGAAGCGCAAGCCCTCTACCGGTTTGAAACCGTCGCCTTACCCTCTTCAAAACCGAGAGGAGCACAAGACCACGACCACCATCGAAAGCACACATCGACCTCTTCGGCAGACACAGACTGCTCGGTACCCACAACAAACACAGACGACTCCGTGAGGATCGAGGATGCGCTGAGCCCTCTCGAACCAACTATAACATGGTTCGATCAAACACCCAGTCACTGGAGCGACGCTGCCACTGCGAGTACTGTCCTTTCCCTTCTCCACAAGGAGCCTCTGCGGTCACCACCGCCCAGTCTTCCCGAGAGTGACACCAACACCAAATACCAGTTGCATTATACATGCTCAATCTGTTTCGAAAGCCGCGCTGAAGCATGTTACCCACGGTCACCAATCGCAAGCGGCTGTGATCACGCCTCCATCCCACACACTTACGTGTGTACCAGCTGTCTCCGTCGGAGTCTGGACCTGCAGCTCTCCTCAACAAGTGGAGGCCTTTTAACATGCCCTCTTTGCCACGCACATCTCTCCGACGACGAGATGCAACGGTGGGCGAGCACGACAACATTCCAGGAGTATTCTCGCCTGCGGACGTGGCAGATTTTGGAGGAAGATGCTGAATTCGTCACCTGTATCCGACGGGATTGTGGATATGGGCAGTTCCACGCGGGTGGTCTGGAGGACCCTATTGTAGTATGTGGGTCTTGTGGCACTCGGACATGTTATATCCATCGGGGAACGGCGTGGCATGAGGGTCTGTCATGTGCGGAGTATGAGGAGCTTGTGAAATCCCCGGTTGATGACTATGATACTAGAAATTTTTATTGGACGGCAGGTCCTTGATGTGACTTTGATTAGTTCAGTGTTGAGAGATAGAAGCGATATCCATCTGTATATATTTGTGTGGAGCTAATTCCCATGGACATTTCAGTGTAAGGGGCTTTGAAATGCTTGTATGCTGTTGAACAGCTTCTCTGGGGAAAGATGTATATCTAATCAGGCAAAAGTTATCTTCATGACAACCAATTCATAATAAATATTTTAGACGATTGCAATGTGGACTGGTAATCAAGCAGTTATCACGACCATTTCGTTGATTTCTATACCAAGAATATCAGTATATCAACTGCAGTGACGTTGGGACAAGGCTCCCCTGACATACCATGGCAACCTTTCCCTTCAAGGATCAACAAGGACCTGCAACTAACTACAGATCACTGCCCGATAATCTCCTCCATAAGAACTTTTAAACGCCCGGAAAAATAACTCCCGAGTCCATAATCGAGACCCCGGTTTTCGTCCACGTCTTGACGATTAGCATCACTCGTCGGCGTTGTTGATGCCAATCAGGCCCAATTAATTGTTGGTGATGATCACTCCCAGCGAGTAAAATGTTTGCACTAATCGCTTGCCATCAGAGAAAATGTATCCAATCAGTGGGCGTAATAGGGGGTGGTTGGTGATGAGGGGCCAAGATCACGCATTAGTGGCATGGAAACTGCAGGGTAAGCACACCGTCAGGGAACCATGATAGGCTATCATTCCTGAGGAAGATACTACCTCAAAATCCAACCTGCCTGTCCATGAACTTAGGCCCATTCAGCATGCTCAGAGAGCGCAAACTGAATGATCGCTATTATGTGATGTCCAATGGACAACTGCATGGGTCCATGCACGTTGATCAACCATCGTTGGCCTGCAAAAGGCTTAACACTGCTAGTTCTGTGCGCGCTGCTTCCCCTCTTTATCCTTCTTGTCTTTTCTTCACCATTTTTTTCTCACTCTCCTGTCGATCTCGTCTTCTTCTATCTCGTCATTAACTAATTGTATATAACGTCCTTGTACCGGCTTGCAGTGTGCGATGTTCGGCTAAGAGTTCAGAGGTTCTTATGCGGCTTGAACGACTTCCGATGGGTACGGAGTATATTTTCCAGGAAATAGTACCTGAGTTGAGGGGAAAAAGCAACTCTCATCGGCAGACATACATTTCAAAGACTGTATAGGCTCCCGTGAGGCTCCGGGTAAAAGCCAAGGTCTACAGCCAACTTCAGGGTTGTTGAATGACTTGAAAACGAGCTATCCAAAACGCATCAGTCATGGCAACAATATGGAACTCAGCGGCTTCACTCATGAAGCGAATCGATATTCCGACAGTCGCTTCGGACACCCCAGTAATGATAGCGGAGCGCCAACGCGACGCGTGGTCACGAGCTGGCAAGTATGGCCTGGGTTGGGTATACTTCTCCATCGTTTTGCTGGCGATCACGACAGCTGTGAGACTCTACCATACATGGGGTGATAAAATCAGGATTGGGTTGTACAAAGAAGATTCGCCATACGATTTCAGGCTGCAGGAGGAATACGAACTCCCTAGTGCTGCCACAGACAGTTCCAGAGCCCAATTCTTTCCCGCCAAAGGGCCATTGCCCTCCTCTGCTATCGATACACAGCAGTCGTCGATTGCAGCGTTCGCGCCGGTGAACAACATCGTCGCATTTGTACGCTGGATATTTTATCGACAACTCCCGGTACTACGAGTATGGAAATTAAGTATCGTTCTCCCATCGCTGGGAGCTTCTGCCGTCATATTCTCGGCTTTAGCTTTCACCATTCTCTATTGCTTCGTTCCGGAACCGCTTTATTACTCGTCGGTCAAGATCGGATCACCTCCACTAGCCATTCGTGCGGGCATGATGGCAGTCGCCATGATTCCGTGGATTGTTGGACTTAGCACTAAAGTGAACTTGATCAGCCTGTTGACAGGGATCGGCCACGAGAGGCTGAATGTGCTTCACCGCTGGGCTGCCTATCTCTGCTTGCTGCTGAGTTTGATCCACATGATCCCGTTTTATGTGATGCCTGTTTGGGAAGATGGCATGCTCATATATTTTCAGCAATCTTCCCCAAAGAATATTTATATATATGGTACTGGCTTTGCTGCCTTTGCTCCTTTGGCCGTGCTGTGCCTGCACTCTCTGCCTATATTTCGTGCAAAGATGTATGAGGTGTTTGTCGTCTTGCATACTCCAATTGCTATGGTTTTTATTGCTATGATCTTCTGGCACAGCAGGAATTTCCTGATGTCGTGGGGCTACCTCTGGGCAACAGTTGTGATATGGGTCCTCTCATACGCTCTCAGACTATGTTTCGTCAATTGGACCAATCCTCTCAGATTGTCATTCATGATCGGAGAAGATTCTACTGTGACATTTCTTCCCCACAACGCCATGAAGGTGACGGTTGCCACCCAGATGCGATGGAAACCCGGCCAATACGTCTACCTCCGGATGCCTCGAGTTTCATTTCTACAGAGTCATCCTTTCACCATTGCCTCTCTGTGCAGCGATGACTTCCCGTCTGATTACGGCGAAGAATACCGTGACATGGCCCTGGTATTCCGCCCTTTCAAGGGATTCACTCGGGATGTCTTCCTCAAGGCGCTCGAATACGGACCCTACAAGACATGGACAGCTTTTCTAGAAGGCCCCTACGGCGGAATGCGGCGGGACATGGCGGCCTTCGACGACGTGATATTCTTCGCCGGCGGCAGCGGCATCACAGCTACTGCCAGCCAACTGTTGGATCTGGTCAAAAAGATGCGGGACGGAAAAGCCGTGACGAAATCAGTCCGGATCGTCTGGGCCCTGAGAAACCCAGAGTCTGTGGACTGGTTCAGGGAGGAGCTGAGAATCTGCCGCGACTACGCACCCCCAAATACAGTGCACTGCCATTTCTTCTTCACGGGGACAGGCCAGCTCAACAAGGAACAACCAGAACAATACCAAATGTACCGCGACATAGTGCAAGAAAAGATCTACGACGCGCTGCAAGGCGTCGACAAGCGCAGTTCTGCGCTTATCCGCGCAGAAGCCGGCGGCGACACCGCGAAGGAGAAGGAGCTGCGCCGTGAAAACGAAGACGCAATCACGTCCCTCCCACAAGCGTACGTCGCCACCAACAACATCCACAAATTCGACCCCTACCAGAATCAATATGCAGACTCCCAGCAAAGCCTCTCCCCGCAGAGTGCTGTTGAGACTCCGTTTGATTTCGGGTTCTCGTCGTCTCCGTTTTCTCCGCGCCCTGTCCAGCGCTTTACGGCTTTGCCGCTGCAGAGGAGGGACGGGTGGCGTATTGACTATTTCCGTCCTGATATCCCGCAGCTTCTTGATGAGTATTCGAGGACGTTTGGTCGGCGGACTTGTGTTTATGTTTGTGGGCCGCCGAGTATGAGAGAGGGGGTTTCGCGTACGGTTGCTCGGCTGCAGCAGCTGGTTATGACTAGCTCATCGAAGGATGAGATATTCCTCCATGCGGAGAATTATAACATTTGATTGATGCTTTTGATCTGTTATGATTTCGTCTCCTTTAATTCACTGTTGAGATACAACAATGCCTATACTGCGCTGATGGTGAGGTAGTGTGTTCTTGGGCCATGATTGTACAGTTTATATCCATGCACATAAATTAAATAGCGATTATATTAATGATATGATACGATATATTTGATTCCCAAGGCTTCTGACAGCCGTACACTATCGCCAAGGTTATGAAAGAGCCCTTCCACCCGCAAGGTCACTGCCGAGGTATACCGATACTTGTGGAACCCTGTCTGTTAAGTTGAGTGGCATGATCGAGCAGATGCATTAACTGAATCTATGGTTTTGTTATTGTATAAATGGTTTCGGTGGATACTCTGCTTATCTTATGATGCGGAGATGGAGTAAGATCTGTTGAGTATCTACTTGCGTTAGCGGCAACCGAGAGAGCTGGTATTGCCCGTGGCTGACAGGAATGACTATAGAGATGCACAATACACACATAGATTCTCACCAGAGCTCACTGTATACCCCGTTGATGTAGAGTAGCACTGAGTAGGTCTTGATCTATAACGAAGGGATCAAGAAGAAAGATCTATGCGATTCTAGAAAAAGAGATATGTACAGGAAGGCATAAGAACGGACAGCGTAAGGAAAATCGTCTCTGTGATGCAGATATTCACAAGGGTATTCACAAAAACACAAAACCAGAAAAACAAGCAAGTGCAACACCTTTGAAGCAAAAGAAATTCATTTCTGGGGCTCGTCATCAGCCTTCCGTTTCCTACTCGCCCTATCATCGTCATCAAACGTCTTGGAAGCCGACAACGACTGCACTCCATCATCGTCCTGATCGTCTTCATCCTCGGCCTCGACCTTCTCCCAGTCGTCGTCATTTTCGGGGTTTTCCGCCTGAGCTAGACCCGGCTTCGTCTGACCCGGATCAGCAGTATCCGCCCTGCTCCAATCGAGGACGAGTTTGACGATCTTGGCCCCCGAGGGTTTTAGACGTCGGTAGTAGTTCTCCACTATGCCGTCCTGGACTTCGAATCCTCGCGCTGTGTACCATTTCAAGCCATCTTCGTTGGTTTCGTGCACGTGCGCCGTGACGCTGCGGATGTTGTAGTGCTTTACCAGGTCGGAGAGCCGGTGCGGTCGCGAGTCCGATGAAGATGAGTTAGAATTAGATGGGGAGTTGAAGAGTAGCGAGTGGAGGAGAGAAGCTGCGATGCCGCTCCCGCGATATGGAGATAGTAGATGGAGGGTCTGGATGTAGAGGTTGGTGGGTTCCTGGTGCGATCCCTGGTGATCCGCGAGCGTGGGCGCCAGCCGTTCCAGCCTACACCTAATCCCTCCGATGACTTTGTCCGTGCTTGTATTTGTGCTTATGCTTAGGGGGGCAGATTCTGCGGGATGGTCATGGTAGACGGCCACGCGGGACACCGATGCGATCACGGGGTCGGTGATGATCGCTGTGTAAAATGAATTGGGGTATCGTGTAGGCAACAGCAGGCCTGTAATGCGCGTCAATGAAGGGATATGACCGGTGCTGACAGGCTCGATTGTGACGTGTGGGTGGGGGGTCTGGTAGCCCGGCGCGATGGAATGGGGGAATGCGGGAGGCTGAAAAGATAGGTCTTTGCTTGGAGAAGGGGCTTTCAATTGTGCGGCAATGCTAGTCGATGTCGAGTTTGAGGACCGAGGCACCATCATAGAGGGGACAGGTTTGGGGAGACGCGAGTGTTTGTTGCTGCTGGACGAGGATGATGAGGGGAGATGAGGAGAGGACGAGGTGGACGATCCTTTGTTGGACTGATGCGCCTTTGCGAAGAACTGATATGCCATGTTTGTCGCAGTATAAACTCATATGCAATAAATAAAGAAGAATGGCCAAATCCCACTTGACTTGCCTCCTGATTCCCTGGGAGCAGAGTTGACAGAGTTGACCATGAAGAGACAAAGGCGCGCGAAGAAGAGAAAAGAGGAGAAACGCGGAGATGAGATAAGATAAGATCGGCTGGTCGGAGCGCTCTCAAGGCTCTCCAAGGCGCCCAACCTCAGTCAGCGCAAGGCCTCGCTGGTCTCCCTCTTTTTCTCCTCCCTGCTCCTCCTCTTCCTCTTCCTCCCCCCCCCTCCCAAGAAAACAAGCTTCCCCGGTCTAGACACTGTGGGGCTCTTATATTCTTATACTCTTGGTGCTCTCCCTTTAAGCTTTTGATCGCTTCATTGTCTGTTATATATAGATTATTGTTATGAAACCGTCTGTCCTCCTATTCATGTGGATTAGGTAAGTGGCCATTCACCAGCTTGCAACGGGGCGGTTGGCTGATCTTCTCCCTGCCGCAACAACAGTTCGCTCCAGTGATACTAGAGCCTCCCTCCGCATTCACTCCTGTCGACAGATGGACGCCCATTTTGCCGGTTGCTTGGGCTCCGTGTGTTGACTATCGTCTCAACTTTACGACATCCGTGCTGTTTCCGGATCGTGCCTCAATTTGCCTCCTAGCCGCATCCTCTCGGCGTTCGCCTATCCGATCCGATTTTCTCGAACTATATCTCGACAATACATGGAACTACGTGGGTGAAGCTGCAGGGATTTCTTGAACTGGGCAGATACGTGGAATCCATTTTGAACGAGAGAAAGTGAGGTTAGTTCTACAGAATCTAGTTAGGGCTTGCGATTTGGCTTTGGGCGTGGCTGTGGGATTTTTAGACCTCGTCATGGGATCCTTGTCGCATCTGCTCCTATGCTACAGTTGAATGGCGTCTATATATGACATATCATTTCACGCTGTCCGCCGGCTACATGTCTCATACTGAGCTCTTATCTGTCTCTTTGGCTTGTGCTCTCATATGACGTGGATGATTTACGTTCTCCGGACGAGGACTAACATACGTGTGGTATAGGTCTCCTGCTTCGACGATGGGTGAATCCAATGGAACAGAGCACGGGAACTCGTTTCCGCCCGGGACAATTGCGAAACTGGTACGTTGACTGACGTCGGCCTTGCAGCAATGGGAAACTGACCCGGGCAAGACGTGTGATATCCTCAATGATACCTTCTACAACATCATACATGATATCGTTTCGAAGGTTCATCGCGATGAAAAGATTGCCCGGATGCGCTCGGCCGCTGTCGTTGCCCGACAGAAAGCTGAAGAGGAAGCAAATCGGCGTCGCGAGGAATCCGGAAACAAGCCCGCCACTGTTAAGGCCAGTGACCCGGATTCGGAGGAAATGAAAGGGGTCCGTGTGGAAACTGAAGCCGCCATCTGTGAAGACGGAAAAGTCTTTCTCAAAGGGAATCCGCTCGAAACCACCAAGGAAATCATTTGCCCCGAGTGTCGATTGCCCCGTTTGATGTACCCAGTGACGGGGGCCGGGGCCCGGGCGCCCCCTGATCTCTCCCGGGAGTACTGCCAGAAGCAACCCATGATCAGCAAGCCTGGCCATGATGTCCACGGCAATCCCTTCGCCACTGACAAGCCGAATACCAAGAAAAAGAAACAAACCACTACCGCAAATACACCAGCGTCGAGCCCTCCAACTACCCCCGACAGCTCGTTTAAACAAGCAGCACCAGAGAAAGTCTCATTCCCGACGGTGAAATGCCCAAACTGCCCTAGGTATTTTGTCGTGACAAGAGTGGCACAACACTTGGATCGGTGTTTGGGCTTGTCTGGGCGTCAAGTGAACCGGAACAAGACCCCTATGGAAAACGGTATCACGCCTAGCTCGGGACCCCCCAAACGTCCGCTTGATGATGACACACCGCCTACGCTACCCAAGAAGAAGAAACTGGGCGCCCCGAAGAAGATGTCTGGGAAGAAACCGCCGCCAGCGCCCAGCAGCAAATTAAAAAACGGGTTAACACCGGACATGGCGGCTGCCGCTGATGGCCACATCAAAAGCGAAGCAAATGGGGACAATGCATAGTCCTCGCTTTGTTCTAGGTGCATGATCATTGTTGCTTTCTCGTGGACATACGGGCCTGTCTGCATGGGAGACACAAACTGAACATATGTCTTCCCTTCTTTTTTTCTTAACGATACTGACGTAAATATTCGGCATCAAAAGGCGTCAACGGGGTTTGGCTTAACACCATCAGGTCAAGAAGTTTGGGATATGTTCGGCGTTGTTTCATTATTTTGAGTTTTGGCTTCTGTTTGGTTGTCAAGATGGTCTTGTTTTGCTTTCATGGATAGATATGCACTTTTGTACAATAGTATTGCGCTCACAGCCGTCTTAAACGTTTATTCGCATGGATATCTTACACACATCCAAATGGTCTTCTATTGCTTTAGTGGGAGGAGGTACTTCATACATTGGCTGTCATGACTTCAATGGTGAGTCATTTGTTGCCTGAAAGGTAAGGCTACAATGCTCTTCGCCGTCGTCCGCGGGACCACAGACCATCCCCATAGTCGTCCATTCTCACCTCGACGATCTCCCCAACCACGAAATTCAATTCCCAATACTCGTTTTTCTTTCAAATATTTTACGCGGACGAATCTACCTTTCGATCCCATGAGCGACCCCGGCCTTATCTCCTGGGCGGTGCCCCGTGTCTCCCAGCTCCTCCCCCTCGACGAGGAATCCCTCACCCAGATCATAAGTTACGCCGCCAGCCTACCCACCGAAGAAAGCGCAGAGCATCTCAAAAACCTCTTGGGTGACTCGCCTGCCGTATTCGAATTCATATCTGCCTTCAGTGCGCGACAATCCCGAGCCAATACCACCTCTACCGCCCCGAGCAGCCAAGCTACAGCGAGAAACACCAACAATGGTCCCGGTCCAGCGTCAAGGAAAGGAAAGAAATCGAAGCCACCCCTACACAGTCGCGGTCCTCCGCGTCGTCCAGACAACTATGGCAACGTCTTAGGGGGCTATAAAAAAGAGGACCTGGACGAAGATTACATGCCCGCGTCCTCTCGGAGCCAGCATACCCAGAACGTACAAGGTACTGGTGGCGTGTTGAAAGGAGCAGGGGCTGGGACATCGCCGTCAACGAACGCGCAACTTTCGGTCCCTTCTTCTCGCGAGGGATCAGCAGCTGCATCGCGCACTCAATCCCCCGCGCCTGGCAAAGCTCCCCCCTCCGCGTCTGGGCCGATGATCTCAGACCTCCTGCCTAATGTGAAATCGAAAGCTGCCAAGTCGAGCCGCTCCGGCGGGTCCGGCGCCGCGAAGTTGTCTAAAGCGTCGTTGACCACATCTGATATTTCCGATCTTACAGCTGCAATCGCCGCCCTGGAGATGTCGACGAACCCGACGTTAGGCGACACGGAACCCCACAAATGCAATTGCTACGCGACAATCCACCCGCTTTTCGACCCTGCACCGAATTGCCTCAATTGCGGGAAGATAATCTGTTCTCTGGAAGGATTACAGCCTTGTTCGTTCTGCGGGACGCCTCTGTTGTCGGCCGAGGAGATTCAAGGCATGATCAAGGAACTACGGGCAGAGCGCGGACAAGAGAAAATGCGCGTGCACAACGAGGGTGTCCAGCGTGAGGGTAGGCCGCGAGTAGGGGCAGAACCCTCATCGTCTAGCCAACTGGATGCAGCCAAAGCGCATCGCGACAAGCTACTTCAGTTTCAGGCCCAGAACGCAAAGCGGACTCGGGTCGTTGATGAGGCAGCGGACTTTGAGACGCCTAATGTAGCGTCAACTATATGGATGAGTCCTGCGCAGCGGGCGTTGGCACTGAAGAAGCAGCAGCGGATCATGCGGGAGATGGAAGAAAAGGCCCGACCGGAGTGGGAGAAGAAGCAGACGGTTATGAGCTTAGATATCAAGGGTGGTCGTCTGAGGCGCGTTTACCAATCAGCGCCGACGGAATCAAGCCACGGCGACGATCAGACGGACGAGCTGGTGGAAACAGAAGCCGGTGAGGAGAACGAGGCAGGAAGCAGAAATGGCGGGAGAGCCTTCAGCCACAATCCCCTTCTCGCCGCTGGGGGGCTTCCACGGCCTGTCTGGAAGGCAGCCGATGGGAAACAGCCAGAAACCTCCGCGCGCAGAGAACCAAAGCAGACATGGCGACGAGTTCAAGATGACAATGACGACAATGAACAATGGATACTGGATGGCGGAGTGCATGGATACTCCTAGCTTGGCTGGATTTAACATAAACTTCCGATGCCGTTACGCAACCCAACCTGGCCAAACACATGGCAAATCCAAAATTGATCGGTCCTCGTTTATCTTGACGATCACATCTCCCTAAGGAAATGCTCATCGTTCTAGATCTACAAAGTCGCGCAGAGTCAACCTGATCACGAGACTTCACGACGTCTCCCGAACAAATTGCGGGTACAACCGTCGACCTAGCATGAAAACAACGATTGTCGAGCTCGCCATTGATTTCCGAGCTTGCACATATGATGGTCGGATATCACCGGTACTGACGTCAAGCTAAGTAAGGTTTCGGGTCTCCAGCCCGGACCATCCTGGCGAGTTCCATCTTTATCCGGTACCTCTACCAGCGATTGGGGTTGCATTCCCCACATGCGTAGATGGCCTAGGTAATAATGCTGGATAACATATACGTTCAAAATATCAGTAATTAGCATAAATAGTAAGGAATATTATCTGGCTGAGGCTCGTCCACGGAGCACAAATCCATGAGCTCTTCCAGCTGCATCCGTCGATTATCTTCAACTGAGGCCATCCTTCCACGGATGACCGTCATCATGAACCAAAGTTGACAACCAGCCGTCCTAGGCTCAGAGATCATAAATCTACCCCAAGAGGAGCCATAAACTGGAGCCCCCGTTCCTAACCGAACCTTCCCACGGGTTATTTATACAGGTCTACGTTCCCGCCGGATCTCAACCATACTCCATCAGCGCGGACACACTTATCATCACTATTATTACAAAGAACATCTACCAAGCCCGGGGAAAGCTATTCTCATTGGTACCGCTTATAAATCTCGGTATATCATTCGCGGGGTTGAAAAGGCAGAATAGTAACAGACCCTCGGTTTGACACGGGTAGACTCGGTCTTCCCCAGAATCCGTGCGCGAGAGATTCTGGGCCTGTCTACGGAGTAAACGTTATACTCCAGCAGCAGCAGCAAGGGCTGGAATACATACACACATACAAAAGCATCATGCTGGTGCAAGAGGTTTGGGCGGCCCTTTCGTTGGCGAGGCTGTTAGTGGGTGTTTTAGGGATATCGGGAATTCTGGTATGTCCTCTATATTTCTTCTTTACATTTTCTTTCCTTCCTTCTTCCTCTTCGAGATACTCGTTGCTTTGCGATCGAGTATGTCGTACAAAACAGGGGTCATGATGTACTAAGTGGTGCACTAGTCTGTTGTGTACGTGGTCTATAACCGCTTCTTCCACCCTCTCCGCCACGTCCCTGGCCCCTGGTTGGCGACCGTCACTCCATTTGTCCAGCTGTACCATGGGCTCCAAGGCGACCGACACCTGTGGCTGCACGCCCTGCACAAGAAGTACGGGTCGCACGTTCGCGTCGCGCCCAACTTCGTGTCCGTGAACACCGCGCAGGGCCTTCATGACATCTACGGCCACGGGAAGAAGCTCAAGAAGGCGAACTTCTACAACGCCTTCACTGCTATCAAGGGTGTGTACAACACGCACAATGTGATTGATAAGACGGTGCATGGGCGCAAGAGACGCGTGCTCAGTCAGGCGTTTTCGGATCACGCGCTGAAGGCTATGGAGGATGTTGTGCTGCTGCACGTTAGACAGCTGTGCGACAAGCTGGCGGACCTCCGGGGTAGCACTAATTACAGCGGGAAGGAAGAACGTGTGCGCAATTTGGCGAGTTGGTTTAGCTGGCTTACTTATGATGTGATGGGCGAGCTCTGCTTTGGGAAGAGCTTTGACATGCTCCAGGGGGGTGGCATTTCTCAACAAAAGAAGGACCGGCGACAGATGGTTGGATTGGTGGATCGGGCTGCTAATCGGCATTATGTGGTGAGTTATTGACGCGGCGAATAGCCACATCCCCGGTTAAGGACAAACAAGCTGACGAGATTCAGTGTGGTCTGTGGACACCTCTCGATACATGGCATCTGGATCAGGTTGTAATCCACAAACTGACCAACGACCGCTGGAACTTCATCATGAATTCTCGAGTGGAGGCCAACGAACGAGCCAAGGAGCGCACGAAGGCCGGCCACAGCGCCAAGAAGGACTTCTTCTACTACCTACTTAACGCCAAAGACCCTGAAACCGGACGCGGTCTCACAACGGCTGAACTTTGGGGAGAAGCCAACGTCCTGATGATCGCCGGCAGCGACACCACCTCGACAACAATGACAGCCACGATGTTCTACCTTCTCCGCAACATCCCGGCCATGGGACGGCTGAAAGACGAGATCCGACAGAACTTCAACGACGTCGAGGAGATCATCAGCGGCCCCAAGCTCAACGAATTGGTTTACCTGAAAGCTTGCATTGACGAAGCCCTACGATTGGCGCCCGCTGTGCCGGGTGCGATCCCGCGGGAAGTAATTGACGGAGCCATGGTCGACGGGGTCTATCTACCTCCCGGCACAGACTGCGGCACCCCGACCTACTCTATTCACCGACAAGACGAATATTACCGGGAAGCAGAGTCGTACATCCCCGAGCGTTGGATTGACGGCGCCACGTGCCAGACCCGGTCCCAGGCGTGGACGACAACGAAGGAGGACGTTGAGATTGCTCGCAAGGCGTTCTGCCCATTCAGCATTGGTCCTCGCGGGTGCATTGGGAAGAGCATGGCCATGATGGAGCTGCGACTGACCATAGCGCGCCTCATTTTCCTGTTCAATTTCGACTTATATGACCGGGAGGGAGAGGATGAGAACGGACATTTGGCTCTCGTTGACCATTTCACCAGCGCCAAAAATGGACCTAACGTGATTGCTACCCATAGAATTTGAATGATATTTTTACTCCATGCTCTGAGAGCATGACAACAAGACTTGATATATGTAGAATTTGTTGCAATAGAACCACGGAGACGCGGAAGCCCATGGAAAGGCAAGAAAATACTCCGGAGTAGATGAGTTTATCATCACGTGCACTGTCACTATCATTCCGTAACGGGTTAGAGGGGCAACAGATCACATGACCCACTTTATCTTTGCCCCTCATTGTTTTTATGACTCAATACGTCCCTCCCTCGCTGGCCCCCAAGATCGGTTTAACTCTGCAGCTAGTGGTCGGTGATCTATTCCAAGATGGCAGCAAACTCGAGTTCGACGGCGGAGCAGGACATCAACCCCTGGTCCGTGGCCGGTGCCCGCGACGAGAGCGGCAACATCTCCCAGATTGACTATGTGTCTCTTGCCCAGTGAGTAGGATATCTTCGCGTTTTCTATATGCATGGTCCCGTCGCTAATGTTGTCGTCGCAATTGTTAGGAAATGGAACACCCAATTGATCAGCCAGGATCTCCTCGATCGCTTCGAGAAAGTCACCGGCCACAAGCCGCACCGCTGGCTCCGACGCGGCCTCTTCTTCAGTCACCGTGACTTCGACAAGATCCTCACGAAGAAGGAGAAGGGAGAGCCCTTCTTCCTCTACACCGGCCGTGGCCCGAGTACCGGCAGCTTGCACCTGGGGCACACCATCCCGCTCTCATTCACCAAGTGGCTGCAAGATGTCCTCGACGTTCCCTTGGTATTCATGCTTACGGACGACGAGAAGGCTCTGTTCAAGGACACCCTCACCTTCGAGGATACGATGCAGTACGCGATGGACAATGCCAAGGACATCATTGCCCTCGGATTCGACCTGAAGAAGACGTTCATCTACAGCGACTTGAAATACGTCAGCTCCCACTTCCTGATGAACGCCTGGGAGTTCGGAAAGCTGGTCACCTTCAACCAGGTCCGTGGCGCATTCGGTTTCAACGAAAGCACCAACATCGGCCGGTTGTTCTTCCCTTCGGTGCAGTGTGTCGCTGCGTTTGCGACTTCGTATCCCGAGCTGTGGGCCGAGGAGCCCCAGAAGAACCGATCCCAGCCGATCGCCGACATCGCCTGTTTGATTCCCATGGGCATTGACCAGGACCCGTACTTCCGACTTTTGCGCGAAAACTCCCACCGCATGCGCTTCCCTTCGCCGAAGCCTGCTCTGATCCACTCCAAGTTCTTGACTGCTCTGCAAGGGCCGGGTGGGAAGATGTCGTCGTCGGAGCCTAACTCGGCTATCTTCATGACCGACACTCCTAAGCAGATCAAGGTGAGTCAATGTATACCCAGAGGGGTTTGTCGCATATCTAACCATCAACAGACAAAAATCAACAAGTACGCGTTCAGCGGTGGCCAGGTCACCGTTGAGGATCACCGCCGCTTGGGCGGAAACCCCGATGTGGATGTTGCGTACATCTACCTGACCTATTTCGAAGAGGACGACGCGAAGCTGGCGGAGATCTACACCAAGTACAAGAGCGGCGAGATCCTGACCGGTGAGCTCAAGGCGATGGCCATCAAGGCGCTGCAGGAGAATGTGGCGGAGTTCCAGGAGAAGCGCAAGCTCGTCACGGACGAGGTCCTCGAGCAGTACATGACGCCGCGGAGGTTATACTTTGCCGATAAGGAGAAGACCCTGCCCATCCGGTGACTACTTAGACATAAACCAAATGATTCGATGAAGACAGAATACCAATTGATTGCATGACCGCTTAGTCCAATAGATGTGACATGATCCACATAATCCCTTCATCGCAACGCCTCCTTTAGTACCTTAGTTTTCCATCGACTAACTTATACAAACGTGGCAGCCCCTATGCTGAGTCATCACCCCATAAAGATCACCAAGATAAACTACTCGATCGAACCAACCCTCATGTTACTTTTATTACTCAATTGGTTCGAATACTCCAGGGAGCCAAGCTTACCCAGCGGCCTAACCAAACAGAAGACAGATATGCAACATCAGCCACAAACAAAGGAAACTAGAACAGAAAAAAAAAATAAAAAAAATAAGTTCTCACTTTTCTATCAATCACTTGGACCTTCCCCCATCCCCTCTCCCGCCCGTCCTCCTATCTTCCAAGGAACATTCAATGCCTGCTGTTTTCACATGCACCGCAATGTACCTGTTTATTCTCACTCCTTAGCTACTCCGCTCCATTTCTTCGTGGCTTATGGCATCCCTGAAACGGGGTCAACGCAGATCACACTGGCAAGTAAGTTGTCTACCTGTCAGTGGTAGATAGACATTCAGGTCATCGATCGGTCATACATACCTCAGATACCTGGCACTACCTTAGGAGGTACCTACCTACCTACCTACTCAGGTATATGAGGAAGAGAAGGGCCAATCAACAATCACAATGCCCCCGTCTCCCCTGACTGTCACGCTTATCCAAGCGACCATACTTAATGCTATCTCCAACATTCTGGCGCAGATTATCGATCAGTACCAGAAGAATGTACGTAGTATCTTTCTTCCCTTTTTCTTCATATTTGACTGGAGTTTGCCCTCGATTCCACTTTCATCACCTCAAATGTCTTGATCAACCTATCAACCTACTACCCCATCCCCACCCTATCCAAATCACGCCCGAAGATACCGATATAGACACATCTATACAATCTTTCTATAGAACCCCTTAAAGCTCTCTACACAACATCAACCAAGGGGAAAAAAGAAATACAAGAAAAGAAGAGAGAAAGAACAAAAAAAAAAAAAAAGAAAAGACCCTCCCCACTTCATCCCGCTTCGTTTTTCTCTCCGATATAAAAAAGTCCAACGGAAGAAACAAAATGATGGAAAATCACATGATAACAAAAACCCTAGAAACCATTCGCCCTCAACACCCCAGCCCTGCTCCAGTTCGTCGGCTACGCCATCATCATCGTCCCCATCAACGACATCTGGCAAAAACTCGTCGAAGCATGGTACCCCGGCTTTCCCACCTGGCGGATCCTGTCCCGATACCGCCGGGAGACCACGACGGCGACGACCACCACCAACATCCCTCTCCACCACCACAGGGATGCTGAATTGGCAGCTGTCGCAGAAGAGAAGGACAAGCCTGTCCGTCGTGCGGAGTCGGGCCCGGGATCAGGAACGTGGAACTTCACTATGAAGTTCATGCTTGATCAGACTGTTGGATCGGTTATGAATATCGTGCTGTTTGTTGTGCTGATTAACCTGCTTAAGGGGGCGGGTTGGAACAGGAGTTGGGAGTTGGTTTGTGAGGTATGTTTTCTTTTTTTACTTTTATTCTTTTTCCCCCTTTTCCTAGTTTTCTTTTCCTGTCGGGGAGGAAGGGAGTTCTGCATGGAGAATTGGATTCAGGGTTGTATACAGAGGCGGGTTGTATACAGAGGCTAATATGTGTATCAGGACTTCACACCCATCATGATCGCGCGCCTCAAGTACCGGCCGCTGGTGTCCGTCCTGATGTACACTATTGTCCCGCTAGACCGGCGGGTGGTGTTTGGAAGTGCGTGCGGGGTGATCTGGAGTGTCTATCTTAGTTTATATGCTGCTGTTTAGGTTGACTAGGATTGGAAGTGTAGTGGATTATAGAAGGGAGTCATATCTGTGAAGTGAAATGACTCTTGATACAAGAAGTTTTGTGTATGGGGAGGAAAGAAATTATCGATCTTCTATATATAGACTGACTTGGGCTTCGCGTTGACTGATGACATGTAATGTTTTTAAAGACACGTAGCAGGGAAGCATGATTTGAGCCATATAGATATGTAGGTATTCAAAAGCTTCTGTATAACCCCATTCTTGTCCCAAGACAAGTTGGTATCCGGGGGAGTACTGACATCTCAATTGTCGGATATCTTGGCCGGAGCTTTCCAATGTTATTGCGAGGTCGATTGTACAACTATGTCGCTCGTTTTCAGACACTCCCCCGCCGGCTTACCATTGGGGATTCTCAAAGTGACCAATCACCGCGTTGAGTTTAGGTACCACTTTCTTTAAGAGTTGCTTTTCGAAAAGTGGCTCTCCATCTTTGGTTTTTCCGGAAAGCCTGTTCATATTGCTGTGCCCTCAACTTACCGGCTTTGGGGAATGTAGTGCATATGCCCGTCTCACTCAGGTTCATTCTTCGGGGGACATATACCCTCATTAATTGAACTGCTCCACCAAAATAAAATAAAAAAATAGCCAATATGTTGCAGCCATCTGAGACAACCCATTCGACGGTAGTCCAGCACCGCCCCCCGACAATCCCCCGAGCCGTCGCACGGACACGCCTAGGGCATACCGACGGCCCGTTGGCGGCGGGGTCCGACCCGGGGGCTGGCTTCGGCTCGGGCTGCCTGAGCAGCCGTATCGCGGGGTCTTTTTTTCTGTTCTTTTCTGTCCTTTCTTTCATGGATAAAAAGTGTTGCGAGTTAATTGTTGAAATAGTCAGGCAGCTTGATGCAAGAAAGCAGTGCCCCAGAAAGGGTGCTAACCACAGGAATCCGTGTCGTTATGCTCGGCTTGTTAGAGTGGGCCAGTCCCCAGTTCAAGATGGTGTTTCAACAAAGGTCAGATAGTCCGCTTCGGACGTTGTCTTGAAAGCCTGTCTGTCTTCCATGAACTTGACAGAACGATATAGCTTTTTGTTCTCCAGATAAATAAGCCCAAAGGCGACTCAAGCTAAAAGGGGCTGAAAGGGTAATCCTTGAAGTATTCAAATCAAAAAGATGTAAAAGCGCGCCAGTCGGCAGCCCGGCTGGCTATGGGCCTTCGAATCAATTTCTTTGGCCTAATTTTTGTTCTTGATCTGCTTTTATTCGAAGATCAAGTAGACCCTTACTAGCGGACTTGCGGTGAACCTCTGGACCAAGGTGACGTGACAGGCACAGTCTGCCTGGGGGAAGTTGACAAGAGAAATGACATGTTGACAAGTTCTTCGTTCATGCCCTGTGCATTTATCAGCTGTCTAATAGCATTTTCACAATTCTGACACCCATGCATGTTGGCTCACCAGCATGTGTGCAAAGTTTGTTGTATGTACTCTTCTATGGTGTCTGATTGTATAGTCTCGTTGTTTTTCACTCCTTGAATCACACGGAAGTTCCATGCTTATCTAGACTGTCATAGTCCTTGAGCAGCTGTGCTCTGAAGTTCGACTGCACTTTGAAGTCGATTGATTGGGTCATTAGGGTTATAAGTAGACCGAAACCCCGGTCTTGTTTTAGTGCTCACTAAGTCTCTGCAAACTTGGGAAAGCTCAAAAGGATAGGCATAAAGCTATTCACATCCGCTATTATGAGGAATAAGACGTGCGGGGTGAGAGATATTGGAAGTCGATGTGATATATACACCTACATTGGTATAGGGTTGCAGAACGAAGAATGAAAAGAAGAGGAGGAGGAGGGAGAATGTAGAGACCCAAAGAATGCGCATGAGGCTACGCAGAATCACAGCCGGAACTCAAGTTGAAGGATGAATATTTTGCATTCACTGCTAGATACAGCCTTTCAACCAACCAGCTGCGTTGCGAGATCGAATCTGATGCCCCCATTTATTATGCGTCGCAATATAAAATAGTGCATAAAAGGGCACCCACAGAGCTCAGAAGTGTCTAGATATCTTTTGTAGCCGAGTGGTATTCTTTGCGTTAGAAGGATATTATTTGATCGCCGAGAGCCCCAGTCCGTCTCTCAATCTTGTTAATCTTCTACTGCAATTTTGTCTTTCCTCTGTTTCACCCAAAAAGGAGAATATCGTGGGTATATCAGTCGGGTTAAGCCCTATACCAATCGTTGGTCAACTTTTTGGCGTAGCGGTAATATGATGTCCTTTGGGTCCCTGTTTCCTTCATGATTTCCAGATATTCGTTGTTTTCTGTCGGTTTCTCGTTTGGAGTCGATTAGAATTCAAGGGAAATGAATCGGTCTTAGGTTATCTGTGGTACGCTGTAATCATCCTATCAACCTAGATTTTTATTGTATTAATCTATTAAACCAGATAACAGACACAAACGAAAGCAAGCAGTGACAGAAACCAATAATACATTAACTCATCATGACATACATCAATTAAAAATCAAAATAATGTAACTTTCCCCCATCCCACACTACCCCTACTCTCCCCTCTCCCAAAAAAACTAGTAAATACTAGGCAACCCCACCCTCCAATTTCCTCCCCTTAACGGAGATCCACTGCACAGGGAGCGCGCCGACGATAGCAAGTGCACCCATTGCGACAGCAATGTAGAACGCTTCGGTGATGGCGTCGCTGTAGAGTCTGACGACGGTCGATATGGCGTCGGGAGGCACGGCCTTGCGCAGCATGGTTGCTCCGGCGCTGACTACGAGACGGGCGTCGATGTCAGGGACCTTGGTGACGAGGCTTGTGAGTAGCTTGTTTTGGAAGACGTTCTGGGCAACCGAGACGAAGATTGAGCCGCCGAAGTTTTGCGCGAACATTACCATTGCTGTGCCTGTGGGAGTGTCGGAGGTGGGAAGCACTGCTTGGATGACGAGGACGGATTGCTGTAGACCTAGGCCGACACCCATGCCGTATATGGCTTGGTAGCCGATCCATGCAGGATGGCCTGTTTCGGGGGTCATTGTGCTGAGGAGCCCGGCCCCTGTGGCCATGAAGACCGGGGATAGCATCATGAATGGCGTGTAGTATCCAAGTAGCGTGACTAGTGCACCTGCGAGCAGGGAGCAGATGACTACTCCGAGGACCATGGGGATGTTCATGATGCCAGACTTGGTTGCGGAGACGTCCTTGATGGCTTGGAACCAGATTGGAATCTAGTAGATCACAGTCAGTACCTCCATCTCCATATCGCAATATACAGGGTTCTCACGTAGTAGACCGTGGAAAAGAACGAAGAGCCCAAAGCGAAGCTGAAGAACGCGGCACCCCAGACGTTGCGGTTTTTGATCAGGCGCAGCGGCACTGTGGCTTTTTCTCCCTGGTATTTCTGCAGCCCTGCAAAAATGATCATGAGAACCCCAAAGAGCACAAACAACGCGATGATGCGTCCGTTACCCCAGGGGTACTTTGTGCCACCCCATTGCAGAGCAAGCAGAACGCAGATGACCCCGGGGAGGAAGAAGAGATTCCCAAGAAGATCCAGCTGGGACAAGGTATTCTTGAGGGTGGTCTTCGTTTTGATCGATTTAGGCGTTTTGAAGAAGAGTATGATGAACAGGAATGTCGCGCCGCCAACGGGCAGGTTGATGTAGAAACACCATCTCCAGCTTACATGGTCCGTGAAGGCGCCTCCCATCAAGGGTCCCGCGACACTCGCGATTCCAAACATGGCCCCGAAAAGCGCAGTGTAAATTGGTCGTTTCTCGAGCGGCATCGTCTGAGCGACGATGAGGACGGCACCCGAGAACAACCCGGCGCCTCCAATGCCCGCAATCGCGCGTCCGACGATGAGCGTCACCGAGTTTGGCGCAACGGCGCAGATCAGGGACCCGATCTCGAAGATCGCCAGCGCGGCCAGGTAGACCCATTTCACAGAGTAGAATGTGTACAGTTTTCCGAAGACCAAGGTCAGGGAGCATTGTGTCAACAGATAGGCGCTTCCATACCAGCCCACGTCTTCGAGAGATTTGAATCGGTCTGTGATCTTCGGGATGGCAGTCGCGATGATGGTATTATCCTGAAATCGATCCAATGTCAACACAGGCCTCCACCCAACAGACGTCCGTCTCTCGTCAGGGAGAAAGAACACCTACCAAGGCCAAGCAGAAGATAGAAAGACAGAGTCCAGTGATGATCAGCCCAAGCTTCCACGACGAAGGATACTCCGGATGTTCTTCCTCCTGCTCCTCGCTGACCTCCTTGGATCCGGGAACAGCGGGTTTGTTTTCATTCTCTGGCGCTGGAGACGCTGATTTGATGGAACCCTGGCGTGGTGACTCCGTCAAAGTGGTCTCTCGATCTGTGGATTCATGAGTGGCTAGAGGGGGCTGTTCGAGTTCGACTCTGGGTCTATCGTGAGGCGATGAGATGAGGGTGTCTGCCATTTTGTCTAGTGTTTGGCTCTGGGAGCGTGGATCAACGGGCAGGAAAGAATCCAGAGAGATCTGAGGTTGACACGAGATTCAACCCCCGCTGTGAAACAGATTGATGTCACCCCTGTACCAGGCTTGTGACTGGAGGGGATGGAAAGCGGTCGTCACAGCAGTGATGGAAGCGATCGAGGGCCGTGCAACGATGAACAGGGAAGTATCTCAGCTGAAAGAAAGATAGAAAGGAGATGAAGCTGGAGGATGATTTTAGTGAGCTTTTTACCTTGTTAGAAGTAGGTCAAGGAAGGAAGGAAGGGAAAATGCCCAGAGCAAAATAATTATAGTAGGAAACCAAGATGAAAAGGAAGGGAAGAAGAAGAGGCCTAGAATTTCCTGACAGGGGAAGCCGGAAGTCAATAACTCAATCCCACCATCAGCGGAAATGCAGTGTCATGGTCTACCGTGGTTAATAACATCAGAAATCCATTGTCTAGTGAATCCCAATAATACCACTGAGCTGTAGTGTAACCACTGGACGGGGACGCAGGGATGGAGCCAGTATAA